TGAATGAAAACTTTGGGCAAGAGTGTATCCAGGAGGGAGGGAGACCTCTAGGCAAACACTGAACTAATGAGAACCACCAGTAAATTGCCAAAATAACAACACAAACGTTTTAATTCTCAAAAACTCGGTAGAGAGCAAAAGCACCTAAGGATTAAAATGCTTACACTTACACTTCTCTTAATAAAGTTAAGTTATCCTGACCAAGTGAGAAATAAACATATAAACTATCAAAATGGTTTCTGATATACCTGAACACCACATAAAACCTGTCTATGCTTGTACAACAATGCAGAGAGAGCTATCTTCTGATTTGCCAAAACACTTAGCACATTTGAAAAATGGCATACACCCATTCTCTGCAGAACTCATTTTAAACCTGGATGCTCATGTAAAAAATATTATCCTGACCTAGCCAGTTAAAATCATAAAAATATTATTTCCCTGACATAAGCATTCCCAAAAAAGCACTAGAAATGAAAGTTATCACAACTAAGAAGAAAATGGAGAGTTAAAAGTCAAGAGAGTATTTCAGAGCTTTCCTTCTGTGAAGTCAGATCTCAATCTTTATCCAAAACATTTCAATTTGATTGCAGGACATTCCTGCAACAGGTAAACTAACATCTTCTAAAAATTATCTCTAAATAAATTTAGTACTGTATGTACTTATTTTGGTTCATTTAGGCTCTGATGCATATGGATATAAGTTTTAAAAAATACATAGAAAAACCTATAGAGCTTTTTAAAGTACTACTATGAAGTCACGGAATGAGCTGATATCATTAACTCACCAAAACAAAAACAAATTACACATTTAGCAGCCAGTACTTCCCCCTTTTAAAAAGTCATCAGCTAACTACTCGGAACTACATTCCTTTTTTAATTAAGATGCAATGCATTCACACCAACAACCTGTTCCTCCCCCCTTCCAAAGTGGCCAAATCCTGGAACAACAGCAGTGTCTGCCATCCTGCAGCCCAAATTACCTATAAGTTGAACTACTCTCCTGGTTTAGGACTTAAAAAAAAAAGAAAGAAAAGAAAAGAAAAATAAAATAAAATATTCTAAGCTCGAATTCCATTCTGGAACAAGTTCAAATAAATCCAAAGTGCTTAAGTTTAAATAAAAGAATTTTTGAAGCTTGGTGAATGAACCAATTAAGGACAAACAGAAATGCAGGCCTTAAAAAATCCCAATTTTTCCATTAGAATGAAAAAAAAATAATCACAATTATGTTTAATGAATTTTAACCCCAACAGGAGTTTTAAAGGTTGCCATACCTTAAGATAAACGCAGCGTTTAAATGCAAGACCTCTGACTCAACCTCCACCTTTTAATCTTTGTGTTGAACTCCAGCTAGGTTTACATCCTTGCAATGAGGCCCTGTGCACTTTTCCCCAAACTATAACAATGCAATCTCCATTTTGAACAATGCACCTCATTTCCCTCCTTGGAAAGCTACTTTTGTCTTAAAGCCAGTAGATGCTGGATCCAGTTATAGCTCTGACCTCAAGAGCCTGAAAATTCTCGGTGTTTATAGTTTTTTGGTTTTTTAAGCCACTTCAACTCACATGCGCTTCCTTTCCTTTCAACATCAAGTGTATTTGCAAGCACAAGCCAGCCTTTCCTGTACTTAATTGAAAAGCCCTCTTTGCAAGGCATGCCTCTCGTTTCCCTTGTTTTTAAATTTAAAGCGAATGCTCCACGACACTTCTGACATTGTTTGCAACACGTCCTGGTGGATCGCGCGTTTCTGCGCTCGCCAGGTTCCCCATGAACATTCGCAGAGCATCCCCTTGTTCCAGCAAGTGCCGCCCGCCCTCCCCGCTGCTCTCCGCGCATCCGAGCATCTCCCGATGCTCCCCGCGTCCCCGGGGCTGCCAGTGGTTATTTGCATCCCCTCTCCCTGGGAGTGCTTGCGGGCATCCCTCACATCCTCGCATGGGAGCGCGGAGCGTATTTGCCAACCTAGAGGGAGCATGTGGGGTGCCCTCGACTTGTTTGAGTTCGCCCACGGACTCTCTACCTGGGGTGCTGCTGTAGGTGCTGTGGCTCCTGAAGCTGCTCTCAGTGCAATAACTGGCATCGTCTTCATCCTCCATCTCTTCGGGGTAGTCAGAGTCGTCGTCGTCCTCTTCCTCCATTATCTCCTCCTCTTCTTCCTCCTCGGAGTCCTGGTTATCCTCGGGGTCTCCCTCCTCCTCCTCCTCGGACACCATGCTCTCCTCCTCCTCCTCTTCGCTCTCATGATCGTCGTACACCACTTTGCTGATGCTCCTCCTGGACGAGGCAGCCCTGCCTTGGCTGTTGCAGCTGCCTCCTGCGCCTCCTCCTCCCCCTGCTCCTGCCG